TACGGATCAATTTGATCATCCTTTGTCCTCGTTTGTTACAACCTGGTTATTTTAATTTTTTAAACTAATGTAAATTCTCAGAATGGGGGTTTGTGGAGATTGTAGTATTTTTTAATAATTGAATTCATGAGTCCATTGAAGCTAATATGGCATTCTTGACCAGTAAGCGTTCACGATCTCTCACGTCGGACTCGGACTCAAGGCCTTCAGTTTAACACGCGAGCACTTAACCACCAGACCACTGATCCGGCATCCAATGGTGTTAATCTCTAACTTCAATCGATCCATGATCTTTTGCAACCATTCATCCATTGTCTGAGGTAGATACCCGTCTCTACCGGACACTGATTTGACTCCGCTGGTCACGGCTTGTTTTTACAGTTCTTTATAGTATTTAACCGTCGTAAACAAACCATCGATATACTACATTACTACTACTAATACTAATACTAGCACTAACACTTAATAATAAGAATAATGATGCATTGAAAACAACACACATAAGTGTTTGGTTTTTATTTAGTAATAATAATATCACTAGTCATAAAGTGGATTCATGAGTAATAAAACATTTCAGTCGAAAACAAAAATGACAGATTCTTACTGTCATCATTTTCAGTTCATTAATCATCATTACAATTCACTGATTGATGATGATTTATTTGAAAAACAAAATAGAATTCCCTGTAAAATATAGTTGGTCAAGGTGTAACAATTAGTACAAGACTACTTACAACTAGATCTTTATCAAATTTTACTCTAATTTACGATAATATTTGTATGGTATATGAAAACTCCTCCTAGAGCCCCTTTGGGCGCTTTGCTGGCCCCAAGCCCGGATAAAGTAGGAGGGTTGGGTATAGGGTTAGCGACCACATCCCGTAGAAAACTAACTCTCTAAAAAACTCTAATCAGAAAAAATAATTCAAGCCATTCAAACTTTGCCCTGGGAGTTAGAAAGTCTCCATACAGAAAACTTATGACGCCTCATGGTGAAGGCTGCGTTCCTTCGGAAGTCACGAGACTGATGCTCCTTCTGAGAAGCAGAGCAATAGTTAATTTAGGTACATGGAATGCTCGTGCAATGTGGGAGACCGGTAAAGTCTTCCATATTGTTGCAGTTACTGCATATGAAAAAAAAATTTATTGAAACAATCAAGACAATTAATGGGTTAGTGATCATGAGTGGTTTATACATTAAGTCAAGGTTCCATGGAGAGAGAATCGTGTTGGAAAAAAAAAAGAAACAATTAAAGTTGTTATAGAAAAACACATGTACACAGGTATATATATATGTACACAGAAGCCTAATCATAAACATAAAAAAACTGGAACAAAATAAGACAAAATACAACAGAATTCTATCAGATTTCATTTATTTGCGAATCAGTTCAGTAAATTCTGTTTCGTATCGGCTACTGACTTCGATGCAGGATGTACTGATGGCTTTACATGGATTAGAGTTCAAAAGATACAGCTATTATAGTAAACATTGTATGTTTAGACCACTATTTCAACTTTAATAAACACTCTATTCAATCAGTAACCCTAAGATTCTTATTCATTGTGGATAAGCACCAATAGCTAAGTATCCTCACAAAAAATTCAGGATTTTGTTTAAACACCTATGACTATTGTTTAGTTAGATAGTTTATTGAGAGATTAATCCAGTTTAGAGATAATAGCTGGTTTTCACTAATACTTACCAACTCAAAAACATGAATCTATGACATCAAGAGAGACTGAACATAAGACCATTATAATGCATCGGTACCTTAAAAACTATAACAAACTGTTCGAGAAATCATCAATAATCAATACTCACTTACTTACTTATGCCTATTACTCCTCGTGGAGAAGCATAAGCCATCCACTACCACTCTCCACCCAACCCTATCGTGGGCAATCCTTTCCAGCTCTTTCCAATTGTTATTCATCCTTTTCATATCTGCTTCTGATTCCCGACGTAGTGAGTTCTTCTACCTTCCTCTTTTCTGTTTCGCTTCAGGATTCCAAGTTGGGGCTTGCCTCGTGATGCAGTTTTGTGATTTGCACAGTGCATATCCTATCCATTTCCATCTTCTTTTCCTAATTTCCTCTTCAGCTGAAAGCTTTGGTATCCGGCCAATGGATGTAAATAAATACTTTTACTTTTTTGATGATGGTTGAGACAGTTCTCCAAGTTTCAGCTCCATACAGTAGAACTATCTTGATGTTCGTATTGAAGATTTTGACTTTGATATTGGTTGAAAGTTGTTTTGAGTTCCATATGTTCTTTGACTGTGAGAATGCCGCCCTTACTTTGACAATTCTTGCCTTTACATCTGTATCAGATCCTCCTTGTTCATCGATGATACTTCCCAGGTTTGTGAAGGATTCTACATCTTCCAGAGTTTCTCCATAAAGTGTGATAGTGTTGGTGTTCCCTGTGTTGTATTTAGGGATCTTGGTTTTCCACATTGTGTATGTTGAGGCCTGCTGCTGCAGAGGCTGGTGCTACACGAGTTGTCTTAATCTGCATTTGTTCATGTGTATGGGATAAGAAATGATTAGTACTATTATTAAAATATTAATAAGTAATATAATCTTACAAACAGAATAATAATGGTACAATGATGCAATTTATTCTATTCTATAAAAAACAATTTAGTTCTCTTACAATATTTCATTGTTTTTCATACTAAAAGTAACTGATAAATCATTAACTATGAATTCACTTTTATTCGAATGAAATACTGATTATTCAGTCTATATTCATTCATTATGCCATGATTTCTCTACTTTTTATAGAATCTTTTGACAGTGGTCTTTCTCTCTCTCTCTTTATCTCTTTCTCTGTTTTAATTTTGGTTTGTGTGTGAAAATGTAAAACTGGACTAATAGTTTCTTCTCTTCTCAATTTACAATTCAAGTCAATGCCAAAGAATGTAAGGTTAGTTAGTGTATAATAATAATATTAATAATAATAATAATAAATCATTGTTAAAAAGTAATGTAAATGTATTTTGTTCTTCATTCATATATGATGTAATCCATTCAATCTATTTACTTGTAAAGAATGCTGATTACTGAAGATTGTGTAGGTGTAGAATGAAATGAGTAATTGAGTAGGTGAATTATGGACTAATAGAATTTCATTGATTTATTTATTTTTTTAAATTTTTTTTTAATTATTTTTCATTTATTTATTTATTTTTTATTAATAACATAAACATGAAAGGAATTTAAGAAATTTTGTTAAAAAAATATTTATCAACAACACAACCGTATACATTGAATTGAATGTTATGATGTTTGTTTGTTTGTTTGTTTTATATGTGTGTGTAACGAAAATTATTATTGCCAAACTTGTTGAATGATGAAAGAGATAGATGAATTTGCATTAATCTTGTCACTATAATCATTAATCTGGAAAATAATAAAGTTTAGAAATAAGTTTATCATGTATCTTGTTTAATATTGAAGTGAATTGAAGTCACAGTGTGTTATAAGTTAATAGGAATTTTACAATAGAATTTTCTATGAACTGTGATAGAAATCCTTGATGATAGGTTCAAAACTCATTTCAAATAGAAATTTTGATGTCAAGTATTTAGAGATTCTTTGCAGGAAGTGTTGAAGTTGGATTTTGTAACAGTTGGTACTTGTCAGTAAGCCTTATCCATAACATTATGAGAAATGACAGTCTTTGTAGGATCAAAACCTACGTCACATAGCTTCGATATGATGTCAGCACGGAATTATTGAGGTATCGACTGGTATCATGTTGAATTAAGATACTTTTTATTAAGAATATTTATTTAACTACTAAGGAGTTTGGTTTCTAAAATTTCTGTGTTGTATCTAAACGTTCTGTTCTTACTTCCATTATCACTTCTCTCTTCCCACTTCTATTCATTTCATACTTTCCCGTTTCAATAATCGAAAACGAGGAAAGATATAGAGTATTGATGAGTTTTTAACTTTTACAGCTTATCTTTATACTTTGATATCATGCTAATGCTATCATTTAGGACTTTTGAAACGTTTGAAGCCGTTTGAGTTCTAAAGTGCCTCTATAAGTGTGACAAAGAGAATGAATGATGGTGAATAATAAAATTAACAACGACAGAATATTAATACACTTTCATTAGCCACCGATTGTATTATAATGCAACCTATTGATGTGTTTGTTGGGATATTTAGAAAAATATCTCAAAAATTATTCTGTTAAGTTTAATGCTGTCCTTGGACTTGAAATGGTATCATTTTCCTATTGGTCAATATTTATTTCACGTGTCATTTCCCTGTTTGCCGAATATAGTACAAATGTTATTTTCTATTTTATGGTACGTTGTAATCTGCTTGATTGGTATATAAATAGAGTATGTTTGAAATATAATGATTCATATCGCAGAGGCTGAGACTTGTGTTCTGGACTTATCTGGCTGGGCTAGGAGGAAAGCAGGGCTAACCAGAACTCTAAGCTGCTCATACGGGTTTACGCGTCATTGTTCCAATCGTTAAGTCACTGCTCTCTAATCGGCGGTCACAAGTTATAACAGTGTTAAGTAACGATTTCGCGTAAATGAACTTTTGAATAATGAAATTATACAAGACAGGAACGATGAGGTGGATACTGAGTGAATATCCTCTGAACTTGAATTTTATCAATGTCACATATATTTTGATGTTATTATATTCAATATCAATCTAGTTCGACAAAATTCTTCATTTTGTTTAGTTACAATTGTGAATATCATTTGAAATTTGTTTATACTATCTGCCGTAATCATTTAAGTTAATGAAGAATGAAAACAAAAATTTAGATAATTGTGAAAAAGAAATGCCAAATTTGATCATGTTACCTGAGTGATATACTTTAGCTTTTCTAGTTAACCAATCACAATGATAATAATAAAGGTCATTTATGTACATGACTATGATCAAGTGTAATTATCCAATCACAAATTAACATGTTTATATACATACGCACACACATATTTGGAATGATTTTTAGCACTTGTTTCAAATAATGAGAGATCAATGGTGAAAATAAGATTCATAAAATAGATATTAATCACGTTTACACTATTACTTTCAGTTTACTTTTATAATAGTAAACATTTATAAATGTGGAATATAGACTTCGCCAATAAATTTTCCATTAAATATATAGTTGCATAGGGTACAAATGATCTTTTATATCGTATAATGAATGGTAAATTGATGTTTGACAGTGAATCAGCCCCAGGTGGACCATCTGGAAGACAAGTATCACAATCATCACAATACATATCTAAATTAACTGGTCACAATTTCGATGTAGACTTTGCACAAAAATTAAGAATGCAAAAACATAACAATCAATTGGCTTCGTTACAAAAAATAAATTATCCTCAACAACAGCATTCATTCGATTCACATCAGTACGATAAACGTTATCCTTTACAACTTATCTCTGGACAGTTAGAATTAAAACATAATTATTCGGATTCTGATGAACCGTCTAGTTTTTATCAACCAATACCATCAAAACAACATTATTATTCGTCATATCGTCGATTTAAAACATGTGATCGTTTGCCAAAACATAAACACTTTGAAAATTCATTTCATCCAAAGCCGTTTGATTCTAATATATTCATGTCACATACTGATCATCACCTATCTAGTACGCCAACAGTAGCTGGACTTAGTGAATTACAAACAGACAATAAAACAATGTCTTTAACAACACCATCGGCACAAATGCCTACTACTTTGTCTCTCCCACTTCGAATTTCTCGTGAAACAGCATTTAAGCCGATAAATCATAAAACTTTTGATAGAAATGCATCCTCCTCCTCTTCTCAGTCTATTCATGAATGTAACAGTGAAAGTTACGTCATCGCCAATGTCAACAATGAAGTAGGTCATAGTAGTAATAACGTAAAAATAAATTCCACACCGAATTTATTGGATTATATCAACACAATTAATTCTTCTGTTAGCAGTTACAAGTATAATAATCCATTGATCTATGCACAACAACAGTTCCACTTACAACAACTTAAACAGTTTCAACAACGTGACATACCAAATCATGGTGATAATAGATTACCGACAACTGGAAAAAACTGTACCACAAGAAGTATGGAAGAACTTTTGAAGCGACAAAAAAAGGTAAATAAATAAATATTCAATGAGTGATTTATGTCAGAATCTGTATTCTGTGTTCAACTAGTTATATCGTGTTGGTGTCATATTTGATAAAGTAAGGGGAAATATTTTGTTTATTGTGAATTAATAAAGTCAATGTTTAATAGAAAATTGTATGGATAAATGAGTTTCTCAGTATCTAATAAAAATACAGCTTTTCTATTGACAAAACGCACCAAAATATATGGCTTGAGAGGAAAAAATGAATAGGTACGAGTCATCTGTTTAACTGATCTTAACTAATATTTAGATTTTAAATGATCCTGCAAGCGGGATCGGAGATGAGCACTTCTGACGAGTCCCATACCGGGACAAAACGACCGTCTAGTGCTTATAGGTTTTCCTTGGTGGTCCAGCGTTAGTCGACTCATGAATTCAACTATCGATTTTAAACAGCTGATTAATCAATAATCTATTGTATACAACTAATTAATTAAAATTTCAATATTAGAAATATCACAAGCTATAACAATAAAAACTGATTTATAGCATCATATGCTCGATATACTCTTCAAAGGATTAATTATTTCATGAAAATCTGGATCCTAATTGAAATTCTAAAAGGAACATTTTGTTACATTTTAATTATTGATATTAAGAGATGTTTGTCACGAACAATATCAACGCAAAAGACGCTTTCAATATAAGATATATTTATCGAGTAACAAAACTGAAAAAGAAACAATAAATCAGTATAGGGTTATGGAAATTCATGAGTTTTATTGAGGTCTTGATCTAATCAATGTTAGAGAATAACTGAAAAGCTGAAGGCCTTGGAAGACCGTTTTGTCCTAGTGTGAGGCTCGTCAGCATCGACTGTAAACTCAGGGATCGAACCCAAGTCTCTTGATCTTTCGTGCACAAACTCTTAATCTTTAGATCAGTGAGTTTATACCCAACAGTATTAATGTTTAATTTCATTCAATCCACAATATTGGGGAACAAACAAGTACAAAACGGCCGTCCAACATTGATGAATATTTTTTATTCCTTCATTTATAAATTATTACCTCATTCTTTGGAGTAGTTAAATTTATATTATTCACTGCCAAGTTCCTTTTACTTTTACAATGAGGATCAAAATTTCATTTTGTTCTATTCTAGACTAAATCTCTTTACTTATAAAGCTTTATCAAGATTCAACATAAGATTTCAATGTTATAGAATTGGTTAATTAACTATTCTGTAAACACTGTTTACATGTGAATAAGGCTAATAGATAAAATTCCTAATTCTTAGAATTCTTAGCAAAATAATATCTTCTTTTCCAGTGTGTATGTAGATTATTAATTCAAATACATTTATAACAATTTAAAGAATTTAAATGAAATATCTGTTATGAGATAGTAACTCACTGATTACAAGGGTGGATCGATTTCGATCAATTTCGTGTATTAGTTGAATTTAGACATTAACACCGTTGAATGCCGGTCAGCTCAGTGGTCTAGTGGTTAAGCGTTTGCATGCGAGACTGATAGTTATGGGTTTGAATCTCGCGAGGGGGGAATCTTGGATGCGCACTGTCACGGAATAGTCCCACAATAGGACGAAACGGCCATCCACTGCTTTGAGGATTTCCATGGTGATCTAGCTTCAATTGATTCATGATCTCAACCATTGAAATCATTACAATCTTCACAAAACTCCTTCGGATACTAAATGACAATTTTCAACTTTACATTCAATTCATCACGAATTATTGAATTGTGTAATTCTAGATGTTTTACTTTTGTTTCAGTGAGTCGTTCACAATTTGAAGAAAAACAGTTTTTAATTAAAATAACAATGATTTTTTTATTAGAATACACTTTAGTCCTCATGACGTCTTGCAAAGTATATATAAATGTAAATTATCGATTGTAACTAATATAATGGTTGCTTAAACTACTTCATCTCAATCTCTCGTATGTTACAGCAATACGTTAAAATGATCATATGACTAGTCACATGATGACAGAACCAGGATTGATGACCCAAAATAGAGAACCAAATTAACACTAAATAATATTTTACTCAATACAGTTACATGCAGTCACACTTAGTGAGTCTGAAGTATAAACCAATGACAGGGAGGGAAATCACATATTTAATAGTCCGTTGACTGTAGCTGTTTGTCTAGGCTCAATGACCCATCATACTTTACTTTCACTAGCATATCAATAACTCTTATCATTGAAGTCATATTAATTACCAAACAGTTTTAAACATTGTGCTTTTCATTTGAAAAATAACTAGTTGCACTCAAATGACTTTCTCTTATTTTCTAGTGTGACTTTGTTACCATGTGAAAAATAATACAAATTATTTTTAATGTTATTAATTGAAACACATACCGCTTCTGATGATCTTTAAAATTTAAGTTATAAATATATTTCAATAACTGAGATCATGAGTCAATAGAAGCTAGACCACCATGGAAAACCTGGAAGCACTGGAGGGCCGTTTCGTCCTATTGTGTGACACCTCAGCAGTGCGCATCTACGACGAAACGGCGTTCCAGTGCTTCCAGGTTTTCCATGGTGGTCTAGCTTCAATCAACTCATGACTTCAACAATTGAAACTACTACACTCTCCACAAAACTCCTTCTGTTATAAATATATATCATAATTATTTTTCGGGATACTGTAATTGTTATCACTTAAATGAAAAAGTGTCTGAAGATGACCTTCAGAAAACCATCAGTCTGGGTTTCTGGCAAGTTGACTCTAATCTGTAAATCATATCCGCAATCATAAAGGGACTGATGCTCCTAGTGATATTTGAAGACGCGTAAACCGTCTCCAAGTCATGAATGTTTACCATGGAGTTGTTTAGCTTGCTAAAGAGTTTCTGTAGGACTGAGTTATTTACAAATGATTTATATCTGAGTTGACGACCAATGCCTTGTTTGTCAATCACTTCTCGATATGTATTTATTTGATTATTTGGGTTTTGATGTTATGTTGGTTTATTCCCTTCACAGATTAACATCTAATTACTTATTTGTTTACTCTGTAAACTTATTTTCAATTATCGCTTGTTTGAATACAGTTAAAATGATGCTCTACCCAATGTATACTTGGTAATAGGCATTTACTTTATTCCATACTAAAATCTTCATAAAAAACCAGAATTCACGACCTTATGGTCGTAACTAGTGGTGGTCGGTTTCCGAATAGATTTTTCAACGTTTAATTAAAAATTCTTGACCAATCCAGCGAAAAATGCTCAAGCTGAGGCGATAACACATTCAGAACATTAGATTAGGAAAACTATGGTTTATAAGCTACCGTTTAATCTATGAATACTTCATCGCTGTTGTTGAACATTCTAGGTTTTCTAAAAAAGATGGATTATGGCTAGTAGTGGAGTTCAGATGACTCTAACGCGTTATGCACCGAGTAACTCAGTCTACATAACTACTAACATGTTCAACAGTTATGATCCTCAGATCATTAGTAGTACACGTTTGAGTTATCCCGTTATTTACGTTGGATCTTCTTTAATGTTTTTTATGCGTGCATAGAAACTGATGAATCCTAAATTTTTGTTGTTCCCCACATGATGTTTGTTCTTAAGGTAATATTCGTTTAATGAGTTAAATATTTTCTTGTTTTGAGATTATCAAAAAATTTTCACTTCATAGGTTAGTCAAGGTGTAATTGAATTAAACATTTTGTTTACATTCCGAAATTTCCTAAAGCAATTCTTAAGCAAAGTATGAAAGCCAAAAACTTTTGAACGAACATTCATAGAATGCACAATTCCACTTTGTTTAAAAGAGGCCTGATAAGTAAAAAACAAAAACCAACTGTTTGATTTATAGATTGACCATTGAGTATTGAATATTAACATTATCCTATTTACAGTGAAGTAAATTTGTATGTTATGAAAAGATTGAATCATGATCGTTAAGATGTGGTTACACAGTCTACTCGGTATCGCGTCTGGATGAGTTTATTGGCTTATGGAATCCCAGACGAAGGCTAAACATATATGTTATCCCATATTGTCGTCATTTGTTCCCTAGTCAGTGTCCGTTCATGATTTTTTTCAGAAAAACTACTTTTAAAAATTTTACAATTATGGTTTGATTTTGTATGAAAAAATATTGTAGACTTATTTACATTTAAATTGTTTGTTGGCACACTGATAATTTTTTTGGTTGAAAGATTAGTCATAACTTAATGAAACAGAGGTTTAAGGACATAAAATCAAGAAAATGGGGGAACTAGGACTTCCTACTGTGATTTTGGTTTTTAAACATATTTGAAGTAGATAAACACAATGATTTGTTATCTCTTCTACCAATTCTACTACTACTACCACTATCACTACCACTACTACTACTACTACTATCAATTATGACTTTCACCTATTCAAATACACTTGAAAGAAGAAGAACATAAAACATCATTCATCATATGTTTCTGATTGTTTCACTGTCAGTCGTTTTATTTTATCGATCTATTATCATTATTTGTTTCCCTAGGCCATTAGCACGAACTGACTTCAATCATGACTAGTTGTCACGTCTTGTCTTCATGACTTTAAATCTGTCTACTGGACTAATCATATACATAAAAAGTGATATGATTGGTTGTCAGAATGAGCAATTGGTTTTACAAACATACAGCCACTAATTTGTCAACAATTAATTACAGTTCGCAAATTTTCTGACGATTAAATCAGATGCCTCAAAAAATTCTTGGGCCTCAGCCTAACAACTATTGAAAAGATCAAATAACTGAATAGTTATTTTGCCTAAGTATGAGATTACTCAGATCTTCATATTATGGTTTGTACCCAAAACATGAAGACCATTGTTTGAGCTCACCATCCTTAAACTACTAACTAGTGAAGCAGTGAAATATTGATCACTTTTGACAAATCAATGATTCCATTATTTCACAAGTTGGAATCATGAGCCGATTGAAGCTAGACCACCATGGAAAACCTGGAAGCACTGGACTTCAGGAGACAC